CTCTTGATATCGGCTCAGGTCATGATCTCATGGTGGTGAGATCGAGCCCCTTGTTGGGCTCTGCACTGACAGCACAGACCTGGTTGGGATTCTCTCTCTCCCCCTCTCTCTCTGCTCCACACCTGCTTATGCTCTCTCAAAATAAATAAACTTTAAAAAAATACTTTATTGATAAAAAATGCTAACCATTATTTGAGATTTATATTGTAACCATTATTTGAGTCATAATCATTGATCACAGGTCATAACAAATATAATAATAATTAAAAAGTTGGAAATATTTCAAGAATTACCAAAATGGGACACAGAGACATAAAGTGAGCAAATGCTGTTGGAAACATGGCGGACAGACTTGACTTACACAGCACAAACCTTCAATTTGTAAAAAAAATGCATTACCTGCAAAGCATAATAAAGCAAAGCACAATAATAGGAGGTATGTTTGCCTATATAGGCATAATCTTTGTGACCGGGGATTAGGCAAAAATTTCTTAGATATGAAACCAAGAGCGCAAGCAATAAAAGGAAAAAATAGATAAAACAAACAGCATCAAAACATTTGTGCTTCAAAGGACATCACCAAAAAAGTATAAAGACAATACACAGAATGGGACACAATTGTTACAAACCAGATATATAACTGATAAAGAACTTGTACTACAATATATAAAAAAATTATTAAACTTAATAAAAAGATAATAATCCAATTATAAAATGGACAAAAGGTCTGAAAAGACATCTATCTGAAGAAAACATATAAATAGCTAGAGTAAACACATGAAAAGATGCTCAAAACCATTAGGATAATGCAAATCAAAACCACAGTGAGGTACCATGTCACATCCACTAGGACAACTATAATAAACAAAGATGATGGTCAACATGGGGAGAAATTCAGTGCTCACACACTGCTGGTGGGGCTTTAGAGTAGCGTAGCCTCTGTGAAAAATAGTTTGCCGATTGTTCAAATGGTGAAACACAGTTTCACCCATCTATGGACCCATCAACCCAACTCCTAGGTATATACTCAAAAGACAGGAAAATGTATGCCCATACAAAAACTTTTTTTCTTAAGTCAATAAATTTTTATGCAAAGAATTTTACATGTGATTCCTTCCACTGCCAATCACTGTCCTTCTTCCAAAGTCAGAATCATAATCTTCAAAATAGCCCCTTTATAAAGAACTTTTGGGGGCACATATGTGGCTCAGTCGGTTAAGCATCCAACTCTTGATATCATCTCAGATAATGATCTCATGATAGTGAGATTGAGCCCTGTGTCGGGCTCTGTGCTTACAGCATGGAGCCAGCATGGGATTCTCTCTCTCCCCTTTTCTCTCTGCCCCTCCCCTGCTTATGCTCTCTCTCTCTCAAAATA